GGTGGTGGTGGTGGTGGTGGTGGGGGGGGGTCGAGGCTTTTTTCTCACATGTCATCCAGGGAGKTTTGATAGCTGGCAACCCAAGGTCACCAGCTGCAGGGATCCAATAATAAACATAATTGTTTGGGGCAAGCAGCCTGGTTTTCTCTGCTTTGAGTCTTAACTGCATCTCTGTGTTGCAAAAAAAAAAAACAATGTTCCAAATTCCAGTACCTCCTCTCCTCTCTCCGTATGAAACTTTACCCAGTTGTGAACTCACTCCTCACGGGCACGCTGCTGAACTGTGATACCCGTCAGAATCACATCCAGTTTGCGACTTATATCCCCCAGCATTTGAGTTTGTACATTCCCAGTACGGGAGATCCCATCCACGGTCCCTGACAGCTTTTGACATTCCTGGACTGCTGTCAGGATCACTTTTATTTTCCGATAAACCAGGACTCCCCCACAGCCTATCAGCAGGAATCCATTTATCATAAATCCAAATATGAACAGATCTTCAATGTCTTCGATGGTAAGCGGGGCCAAACCAATGAGGTTCCACCCCCAGGACCCAGACACTCGCCCGGCCACAACCATTCCACTCAGACAGCTGAGCTCCCCACGCTCCAATCTCAGTGTGGAAAAAAATAGTGTTGATTGCGTTCAGAGATCAGTTGACCAAATCCATAATTCCTTTTGTTTTCAGATGATAGGTAGAAGAAGAAAGGCTTGACACAGCTGCAAAGCAGGGAAGGAGGGACAGGTTCGGGAGAGAAAGCAAAAAAGCATCCGACTCCTCTGAAGACCAAGCAGAAAAGACTGCGTGGCTTTCTATTTAAATTATAGTGTGCTCGCAAAAAAGCACAATGCGAACGCAAACCACACCAAATGAAAAATAAAGTCCGCTTTTGGTCCAGACCAAACAAGTGGACCAAAGGMCTTYCCTGRTGTGAATGCACCCTAAATCATAGAACCAGCCAAACTGTGAGAAATAAGTGTGATATAGCCTGGAAAATACAGTACATTCAGATTTTAGATTGTTTGGGGGAAAATAATTCACATCTTTGTGCTTACAGATAAGCACAAATTCTATTGGATTAACCATATGAAGCTGATGATATAAATGATTGAATTAGTGGTTGCATGAACTATTTAAACCTTTTTTTGTTGGTCTTGGCCTCACTCAGACTAGCCATTATTTCTCCAAACTGAGATATTTTAAAGCGCCATCTACGACTGGTAAAATCTTAATTGATTATAACCTTTCCACATAACCTTGTTTTTTAAAGCTTCCATTCTAAATCAGTTTAATACATCAATAGGAGAATTTGCCAGGTTTTACTTGTATCTATAATAACAGCATGTGTTACCTAATCCCACAAGAAGGAGTTGCTACCAAAGTAGTGGAAAAAAAGAGAGGAAAATACGAAAAAGAAGAAACAAAAGCCCAAAACGTTTTATTTTGTAATGAAAAGATCATAAAGATGTAGTTTTTGGTGAGAACAAAGCTGCAGACTTTAGGTCTTTATCACACAAACATTATTAAGTAATGAAACATTTCCCACTGAGCTGCTCGACAGATGAATGAGGATTTCTGTGTTTGTTCCAACATCTATGACAAGTGTTTTGCATTTACCTGATAACGCCGTTAATAAACCCCTCTCAAGTCAGTCTCTTAAGTTCTTTGCCTTTCTTTTCTTGTCACGTGACTCCGACTGAGAAATGCTTTGCCCTTGAAAACGTGCCAGACAAAAACAAAAAAGCCTAACCACCATCAAAAAACACACACACACATAAAATAATAATAATAATAATAAAAAAACATTTGTAAAAGTAGACTTTTGGGGGATTAATTGATTTTGCTGTTTGGCTCAGCATCCAAAGGCCCGTACAAAAGACTTGTCAGTCAAAAATAAAGGCAGCTGTCTTTCTCGCCAACAGTCAAATTAAATAGTAGACTTATCAGGATGTTTAAAGAAATTAAATGTTTTTATTTTTCTCGTGGCTTGGTTGTAAATTATCCTTTAAAGAAATACACTGCATGGGAAATTTGGCTATAAATACCAATGTTTAAACTCTTGTTGGTAATTACAACATACAGGTGTTTATTAAGACACCAATCAGTCTCCTTAAACTATAACTTTGTTATTCCTCTAACTTTGTTTCAGTTCTTTTTCATCCTTTTGCCCGTTACTTGAGCACAATCAGTTGGTGAGTGTGATGAAAGTGCCAGATGTTGTTGCTAGGAGATTTGAGCAGAGCCGTGTCTCTCTTGTCTTCCTTTCTTTCTTTTTTTTTGGACTTTCTCTGTTGTGTGTGATTGTTGCCATGATCCAAGCAGCTGTTTGAAGCCCCCAAAGAGATTATGGCTGAGCTTTTGAGTCCCTCAGCACAGTCCTTCTGTATCTCGCTTTCTTATTCCCATTTCAAAAGATTGATTGTGCAGATGAAGAATGTCAGTAACTCGGAAATCTGTTTTTCTTTTTCTTTTTTTATTCATGCATTGAATACTGCCAACAAAGCAGTTGTTTGTATTAGCAGTTAGACCTTTTATGTAAAGATTGAGGACAATTAACACCAGTAGTTATGCCCCACTTTGCTTTCCTGTTTAAACTGCCATCAGTAGGGCAGTGGCAGAAAGCCTGAATTCATGTTTCCCATTACAGCAACAAAGCACCTTTGCATTTTGCATTTCCCACTGTATTTACTACATTGTTCGTCCACTTTTCTTTCCACTGAGTTTCTTTTAAAAGGCTCTCCAACAACATAAAACTGCCAGTGAAAAGGAATGTTTACCTTGCTACAATACAACATCTCCATGTGTGTTATATTGAGCACCAATGTAGTCCGTTTTGTTGATTACCTTCACACTGGATGACCCAGCTACGCTCACCACAACCTACATGACCTATTAAAATTTGGCTACAATTCTCTCAGACCATGTCAGAGTGCAGACAAATGCTACAATGTCCGATGTCAGAACAAGCTAACTTAGTGTTGGCAGTGGTGGACACCAGTCCGCTAATGCACAAATCCGCTAATTGCAGACCTAAATATTTTGTTTGCGCTTTAGCGGTCTTACTACTACTACTACTACTAATAATAATAATAATTTATAACTCATAAGCGGATTTTCACTTTCTAAAAATAAAATGCAGGACCGCTAATAACTAATTATCTACCAATCATCATTATCTCATTATCTTGAACAGCGGAAGGTATGGTTGTCAATTAATCACAAAACATGTGATCTATCCAAAGCACCCCTCCCAGTTAAACACACATTGGAAAGGTATACATCCTTGCTGACAGTTGCTCTCAGTCTCGGTTCTCATTTCCCACAATGCTTTGTGTTTCATTACGTAGCAGGAAGGCAATGTTTAGTACTCCCTTTCCCAGCAAAAACAGTAAACGTTTGTAATCCATACTAATATTTTGTATTTATTGATTTATTTTACTTTACAATCCGAGCTCCTTTTTAAAAAAAAAAAGAATAAAGTTTAAACGCTGGAGATCAATACTTGACGTAATTGGTCGGAGCAATCCACCAACGAGATTAGACAGACATCTAATGGTCAACTGGAGCAACTACATGGAAAACTTTCATTTCCCGTCACAAATCAAATCCGTCATGTACCCAGAATGCATCGCTTCAGTTTTCCAACAAACAGTTTTAAAATTACTTTACTGATGCTTCTTTAATGAAAAATCTACAACAAACAAAAGAAAAAGACAAAGAAGCAGCCGAACTAGCAATCCTAAACAACTTTTTAAAGAATCAGCCGAACTAGCAAGCCTCAACAACTTTTWAATTTTTACACCAGGAGCCAAAGTTCTGTTTCAGGAACTTCCGCTTTAAAATTAGCTTCCGCTAGTTTTCTATGGCATAGCGGTTTTGAACTTGCGGACCTAAATATTTTCATAAGCCCTTTAGAAATTGCGGAGCTAATTTTTGGGTTAGCGCTGCCCACCACTGCCCATTGGTTTCACGAATGCATTGGGTTGTTTTTTGACAAAGTTTGTCAATTTGTTTGTCTAGGCGCATGGTTTTTAGGCCTCCATCATCTTTAGCCTTGGTAAGAAGGAAGAAACACCATCTGTATGAGAGGACTACGGTGAAGGGATTCCCTGGGCAAAATCTTAACCACATCCACCCTATTTTCTTTCTCGTCCAACAATCCTGAGCACAGTAGGAACAAGTGGTTGTTACTTGGGGTCCAAAAGGCAACTGAAGGATGGCGGAGCATAGCACAAGATTTACTGACACTTAGAGAGTGTGGAATTGCCATGGCAGCTGCGTGATGAGACCAGGCTGGTAGCTGTTGCGAGAACAGTAGCAGAATGTGATGCACATTGCAGCAGCACTACCAGGAGTGTTGCAATAACAAAATGATTTCAGGACAGGATGGATCATGGATAACCATTTTTATATTACCTACTTTTTACTTTCGGCCTTTAAAGATCAAAACTGTGGATGTGGACTTTTTTCAATGTACTCTTGTGTGACCTTGGGTTCTTCTACGGGTTGATATGTATGACTGTAACATTATTACATTAGGTTTTTGCAGTTTATTTATTGATTTGAATGCTATTTTTTATTACCTGATAGTGTGTGTGTCAAGGAAGTGTAATAAGAAGTAAATGCCTTAATACATATCAATCCAAATACTGTATCTTAGTGTTTCCTTGGTTATTGTTTCTGTCTCTGAATATCTCTTTGCCTAACTATGATGACTTTTGGAGAACTTAATTTCTGTCTGGAAACGAGTGGTTGTTTTCCAACACAACAGACCTTAGGACATTAAGGATTAGACAAAGCCTTAAAACCTGGATTTGCATGAATTAATGTCTAAAATATCTAAGGATTCAGCTCATTATTGTCTTTAATATTAAGATGATTAGTTTCGTGATTTATGGGTGTATGTCCAGAGGTGTCATTTGGTTGACTCAAATAGGAAATGTACACTGCTTCCTGTTAGTAACAGAATAATCAAATGCCAAGTTTACCTCTAGACCTTTTACAGTGTTTATGCAGTTTATGTTGATTAAACAGCTGTCATTGCCAAATTTAAAATGTCCTCAAGAAATTACTTTGCAGTAAAATTGCAAAGCTTTGTAACCTGATTTTTTTCTAATTTAATTGGTTGCCCTTTCTCTCCACAGCTGTCTCGACACATACTGAGGGCGAGGACAAGATCCAAGTCCTGTTGATGGTGGAGTGTGGAAGGTATGACCTGGAGAAATGAAATAAAAAAAAAATCCTCCCAAAACTTGCTAATTGGCATCTTTTTTTTTTTTTTTTTTTTTTTTTTTTGGAATCTGAAACAGCGAGGCAACATTGTTAGCTTCAACTTTACCTTTTTGTCTTGTTAGTCTGAATGCACTTCACCTACTGTAACGATATGTGGTAATTAAAGCGTTGCTACACTGCCTGCCTGAGATAGAAAGTGGGAGTTTAACACACCACAGCCCTCGCACAAGTGGAGAATTTTTTTAAATTTTGCTTCCCTTTTATTATAACGCAACAAGACTTTGTGCTTACTTCGCTAATTGCTGTTTGTATGTTTTTGATCAGACCTCACGGGAAAGCTCCAGTTGTTTATAGCTGTGTGTTCTGCAGAAGTGCTTTTGGATTCCTTTAATCTTGTTGGTTGTTGTTTTAATGATTTAGAAGAGCCTTATATGTGAACTTTAGGTGTTGGAACACCAAACATCATGTTGTGCCTTGAAATCATGGCTTTCCACCCTCTATTTTTTCTTCTCTTCCTTTTTTTTAAACAGAATACTTTACATCCATGGCTTCAACAAGATGGACTTCTCACTGTGGCACTCGGCCATCACGCTGGCTGCTGGCACCGATGGCAAAGCGCTCGGTGACCAGCAGCTGACGAAAAATGGTGTCCCCATTATAGTGGACAGCTGCATTGCTTTTGTCACTCAGTATGGTGAGTTTATTTGGCAGCACAGAGAAAGGCAAACAAAAAAAAAAGAATTTTCCATGACTAATCAGTTTCTTGTTCAGGAACTTATTCATTCAGCAGACAACACACACACACACACACACACACACACACACACACACACACACACACACACTTACACACAGTATTTTTTTAGACACCTTTTATTTGTGTGGCACTACTGTGGGATTAGTCCAGAAAAATTTAAGCACAAAATCTATTTTGCATTGAGTCCTGCCTTGGCAGTGCATAATAGACAGAAAAATGTGTTTGAAACCATAAAATGGAAAAGAAGGTTAATTTACCTCAAACCAACATTTCATCCTACCTGCAATTTAAATGCTAATGTGTTTATGTAGTTCTTTTTTTTTTTAATCCTACAGCTCAAAGTCACCGTAAGGTTGTGTAATTCTCTAAGTCACAGAGACAAAAGGGATTCTGGTAGTTTTATTTTTATTCAATCATCATCTTGTGACACCAGGTTTGTGCCAGGAGGGGGTCTACCAGAGGAAAGGGGACCCTGCGAGGGTGTCTCTCCTCCTGGAGGAGTTCACCCGCGATGCGCGAAACGTGAAGCTGAGGGAAAAGGAGCATCACCTGGAAGATGTGACCGACACCCTGAAGAGCTTCTTATCCCAAGCAGAAGATGCTCTGCTGACCAAGGAGCTTTATCCGTACTGGGTGTCTGCTCTGGGTATGTTAGGTGACAGAGGAGGAAGAACGGGTGTTTCTGAAATGCAAGTTTTGAAACCTATAGGGTTTGACGTTCTGATATATTACACATTAAACCAATTTTCATGTAAAATATTTAAAAAGTACCAGAAAATGTTTGTATGTTTTGGTGGATTTTGTAAAGTAGTTGGTTTGTAGACAAATCTGGGCAAGTACTCGCTGATTACTAYAATATTTTGTCTTTTCATAAAACAKCCMAGCAATATGGCTGCCAGCACATGTTTAACACTTGAGTTTCACCAAATGAGCCGATTAAATCATATAACTGTCATTGCACAGATGAAGCCATTTTAGCAAAATCTGACCATTTCCACTAAAAAAACTGCAAACTATTTGATTTGTATAAAACTATAAATAAATATGTCTCTTTATCCATACTCCTAAATACTGTAGGATTGGGTGATATTGGCAATAAAATTATCAGAATGAACAAGGTGACAGTTTACAGATGACAACTGTACTGGCTTTTATCTTTTTTCTTGATTATTAACCTTGTGTTCAAACATATACTTACAAACTATCAGTCAATTTCTACATTATCTGATAAGATTTTGTCCAACCCTACTCCTAAAACTGTTTKTCTGCTTTTGCAGATGAGAAGGATGAGAGACGAAGGGTGAAGAAGTACTCCACTTTTATAGAGAGTTTACCAAAGATCAACAGGTCAACCCTGGAGGCTCTGCTGCAACACCTGTACCGGTACACACAAGCTCACACTGACACATTCAGATTGATTTGTATTGAGTTTATTTTACACCTAAAAGGTCTGTAAGGTTAATAAGGGGGCAGCTCTTTTCTGAAAACAATGTAACATTTGATGTTTTATAAAGTTTCTATAAGTTTGGCTTCAACAAATTTTAGAYTGTAGCCTAAAGTTATTCGTTGAAGTCGTCTTAAAATCCATTACCCTGCAAAAACACCCCTGTCTGGTCGTAATTACCTCGCTCTGTATTTTGTTTTCTATTGGACGTATCTGGGCTGCGCCCTTTGGGAAAAAGGTGTTGGAGTCCAAAAGGGAGAGAGAGAAAAAATAAATAAATAAAAAACGCCATCAGTTTAAATCACCATCACACACAAACACTCCTCTGGCAGAAAGTGGAATTTCATATCAAATTTGCTGACAAAGCAGCTTCCCTGCAGGTTGTGTAGATATTTTGTGTGTTTTTAGAATGTGAACGGTGAAACAGACTGCAGAATACCCTACTTTTCTCTTATTTATTTTTATCTCTTAGTTTTTTTCCTGCTCTTCTCTTGTGTTTCTTTCTGTTCTTTGTCTTGATTTAGCCCACTTTAAATTATTATTGGGCATGGATKATTTTATATTAATTTCTCAAACAAAATATGGATGCTTTTAATTACTTAAGCTGATTAAGGGTAATAGGGTTTCGTTAGAGGCAGACCTCAGTTTTTATTCCTAATTGTTATTAGCATGTCTTTTTTCCCTGAATCAAATARCAATAAAGCATCTCGCAGAGCTTTAGAACAAATAAAAACAACATAATTTGTTGTGTTGCATGTTGTTTTCTGAGACGTATTCTGAGAAGTTGTACATCTACAAGTCTCAAGGTGTAAAATGTAGCAAAGTATAGTTCATTTTACAAGTCTTGAGTTGKATCTTTTCTTTGTTTTTAGCCTGCCAGACTTTATTGTAATTGTTTAAAGTAGTTTTTAGTGATAATTCTCCAAACTTCTCAATAATGTTATGATATTTTTCTTAGCTTTAATAGCTTTAGCTTTTTTCACCTATTGAAAGATAGTATCTCACAACAGTGAGTACACCCCTCACATTTTTAGAAATATTTCATTATATAGTTTCATGGAACAACACACTTTGATGCAATTTATTCAATKAACAGCTTAAATAATAGTGAAAATTTCCTCAAAGTAACAAAATTTAGCTGTTTTTTTGCACTAAGTCCAGCCATAAATGTGTGTAAACCTCTGGCAACAAAAGTGAGGGGTGTAGTCCCTTTTTTGAGTTACTGTATGCTTTTGTGCTTTTTTGTCACTGTGTCCTCAAAAAATTTCAGGTAATGAAGTAAATGAAAGAAAACAAAGGTTGAAAATTTCTAAAAGTAAAAAATCCTGTAAAGGCGTGATGGGACATGAGAGGTGCTTTATTCTTCAGTTGATCAACTGTATGACGAATATTTATGCTAATTCCTCTGTTATAGCCTAGCCTTCTTATGCAATTTTGCTTGATTCTAATTTCCCTTCTCTGCTCTGTCTGGGCTTTCTCCCATTGACATGGATTTCTCCTATAGATTTTCAATCGGGCCAATCAGCGAACGTAAAGAGGAGTTCTAAATGATGATGATGATTTTCTGCGCTGTTGTTGTCTACCTGTAGCTTAGCAATGGCAGTGGAGTAAGTGACTGAAATCATTCAGTCCATAATTACAAGGCTTCTATATTAAATTAAATTTGTCTCACAAAGCTGCAGCACTCGTTTACAGCCATCTTGTTTGGCTCGGTACTTCTCTCTTCCAAGTCGGAGATGGTTGTTTACAGCGCACACAATTTCCGGTTCGCTTCTTAGCTTAGCTTCCTTCACGGTCGAGATGGTGCACTACATACATCACGGCCAAACGTTAGCGATTGGGTAAAATCTCCAATAATTTTAAACTTCAACAGAGGCCACGCCTCCAGCAAGAAATCGTTTCTCAATAGCCGAGAGTCTGGACCCTCTGTACGAAGCAAAGCGTAGAACAAGGGTTTGGCTTTTACCAGGCTACTTCTGAGAGTACTAAAATCCACATTTCTGTCAAATTTTGTTACCTCCTTTAAAAAAAAGTGAACAAGTAGGGGATTAGTGACAGGCTGCTGGGTAAAAAGTTAGTACTTAGTCGTCAAAATGGCTATGTTGGTTCTTTTGCTAGTAGCTAAGGTTGTCTGTTCTGTGTCGACACAACTTTGATCCAAATACATGTAAAACCTTTTGAACATTTACTGTTGATATATCTTCTCCGTTGGAAATCTGTAATTGTCACAAAAAAGTTGGTAGTAGGCTACTCATGCAATACTTAAAGCTTCAAGCGGAATTGATGTCAAGAAAGAAAAAAACTTAAGCAAGACTGGAAGCCATTAAAGCCACCTTAAAAAAAGAAAAGAAAAAGTCGTACTTTTTTCTTTTTGGCAAAATGTAAGAAAATAAACAATATTTTAAGATTTTTTAAAACCAGATACTGTAGGCTTTTACTAAAAAAAGGCTACTGAACAGAAAGCATTGGTCACCACTTTCACCATCTTGTTCATTCAATAGTTCTGAAAAAACAACAACCATTTAGTCATATGATTCCCTCTTCCTGTCTGCTGACCCTGTTGTAACTAAAACAAAAGTTGAATTGTAGACCTTTGCTGTGTTGATCATAGAAGAAAAAAGTACAAAGTCTCAAGGTGGTGTACCCGAGTTCCCCTCAATTGGCTATTTGTATCCTACTGATTAGCCTGTTGTTCCTTTTCTTCTCTTACGGCCCACTCTGCTGTGTGTGGTTTTTAATTTTTAATGATTTTTCTTTTGTATTACCAATCTGGCAAGGTTCCTAGAGTTAGTCATAAATACTGTACAATAAATATGCTGCCGTGTCCTTCAAAATGCATGCTTGAATGGGAAAGGATGCTTACCTCTGACGAAGCTATGTCCTTGGGTGGAAAAGGATAAATAAATTTTATATTGTTTGGAGAGCTTGCTAGTATTTTGTATCAAAGACAGAACGTATGGCAYATTATTAAAAACCCAGACAATTAGCAACACGTTGCTGAAATCCTCATCTTAAAAAATACTATGTATTTTTTTTTTAAATTTCTCTGTTTTTTTATTTGATTCAGATCTTTTGAAGTGTGAAATTCGCTCATCTTCCTTGTTTTTGTCAAGATCATCATCRTCTTCCTCCACAGCTCATAAATTCACCAAAATTCCTTCGAAAAATGTTGCTATTATTGTCAGAGGTTTCGGAACAAAATGAAAGTTTTAGTTTTTTGACACAAAACCACCCACTTCCAAAAACGGTAGCAACTCATCAAAATAAAAGTTGTTTAGTGATATGATTTACAGTTTAGTGRTTTGTCCCTAAACAACACGTTGATTTTATTTGCCTCTGACATTACAGAACCTTCGATGTAACTATTGCACACACGTACATTGTGATAATGCTCAAACAATATGTTGCTCTGGTAGAAAATAGGTGATAATGGATGGAAAAGTGGATAAATAACCATAAAATTACACACAATAATCATGTGCAAATTAGACCATGATGCAATGGTTAAAAAAATTTGTTTGCTTAAACCACTCTAGTCTTTTTTAATAATCTTGTGCTCGGACCCATCAATTTTAAGTCAATCTGGTCTGAATTAAAGTGCCTGTGACATCAAGTCTGTCTAATAAATATGAATGCCTTTTTGGAAAGATAATATGGATAAGATATTGCAAAAAAAAAAGTTCACGCTGCTGAGATGAACCATTGTTGAGATATTTGGATGTGAAGAAACAGGAAGTGATGTCAAAGGGCCTGCATGAAAATAGAGCATTGCTACAACAACTAACACAGACTGTAGAGAAGAATCTAAAGTTTATTTAGATCATTTTGAGTCTATCAGAGAGATAAAGAGTCAGAGTTCAAATAATATTTAGAAAAAAAGAAAAAGCAAAAACTTAACGTGTTCCCTTTTGATGTCACTTCCTGTTTCTCTTTGGCTGAGCCAAGTTCAAAAGAAAATCTGCCAGTTTTGTAACAAAATATATAAAATCAAGTTTCTTAAAAATAACAATGTTTTCTTTGACTTTTTGTATTTGAAGATAGTGCCCGTCACAGGCACTTTAAATTCAGGTTGTTCAAATACCTATCTACAACAGGTAAGATATTACCTGTTTAAATTTTTTCCACAGAACCCTACTTCAAACAGTCTGAATATACACTTTTAAAATGATAGATTTTCAGTGTTCACACCCGACTGGATTTATGTGCACRATACTTCAGTGACAAAAACAAGCTGGTGTGGAATAAAACTAAACCAGCCTGTTTTTAAATTAAAACTCTGCAAACAAGAACAAAAGCATTTACTCGACAAAAGATCAAATTTAGTACAGAGCCAGAATCACACGCTGGATCTCATCCTGCTGCAACATCACAGCACAAAGCTGCTAGTTGTTCCACCTCTAATTGGATTAAGAAGCAGACACTCTGCTGTCCTTATGTCTCATTCAGTGATGCTCACATTACACACCACTCCCTCAGATACCTGCACTGGTTGCAATTTAGCTGTTAATTACACAAACTCTTTCAGGAAGATTTAATTGGCCCGGGGCTGAGCTTGGCCTAAAGCCTGGCATTTGATTTTGTTTTAAATGCGTTCGTGCCACAGTTAGAGATCAGGAGTGCGCCTGTGCAGAAGATGTTGGCAGTTGTTTTTGAGCCGTGTTACTCTGTTTCCGTTGAAGGTTTCTCTCTCTCTCTCTTTCTCTCTCTCTCTCTCTTTCTCTCTCTCTCTCTCTCTCTTTTTTTTCTTTTGGTTCAGGATACAGCAGTGCTCCCACCTCAACCAAATGCCAGGTGGAAAACTGGCCACCGTCTTCTCCGCCTGCTTGTTTCAGACTCGGGGGCAAACCTCACAGGAAATTAGTGTGGTTCATGACCTTATCAGCAACTACGTTACGCTCTTCAGTGTGAGTCAACAAAAGCCCTTTCTTTTATTTCATTGGACACGGGAGACATAACAGAAGCTTTAAGCTGCAATTTGTGACTGATTATGGGTTTTCCTGCTGTAAGTTAGATAACATCCAACATTTTATTACATAAACATACATTGCATAAGATTGAGAAAAAAACAGACTTATGCTATATTTGCTACTATTGTGGTTTGAGAATTGTTTTGTGGGTATTTAAGCTGGATTCAAGACACATCTCTAGAAAATGCTGATGACTTAAAGAAAAGCAATGGGCTATGCAAAAAAGGACAATGTAACAGTGATATTAGTCCCCTTGTATTGTTTGTTCTTTGGTTTTCCCTTTTAAAATACAATGAGAAAAATCTAAACAAGATAAATGATAATTGCAAAAGTAAATGCTGCAGTTTTATTATTTATTTATTTATTTATTTTTTAAAGGTTAAAGCAAAGATAAACTATTTGGTTAGTGCACCATTTGGCACCTTCTGGCGGAACCGGAAATCATGGCCTGAATTTGCATTTGTCTTATTTTGGAGTCAGTGCATCTCATTGAGAGCTGATGATTTTTCCATTAAAAAATGCTTCAGTATTCCAAGTGATGTAAAATAGGGTTTGAGCAAAGCCATTGGCAATATCTTTAGGAATGATTTCCATTTTTAAGCAGCTTTCTGACATTTCTCGGTATCTCTACATATTAAAACTATATATTTTTTATATATATATTAGGGATTCACCGATATCAAAATTTCAGCCAATATCGATATCCGATATTATTATCGGTATTATGCTGATAACCGATTTTTACCGATCATTCACAAACACACAAATTTATATCCATATACGCACAAACACACTTGGGTCTTTTTTTGATACCGTAAATAAACGACCAGTCCTCTGACATGGCTCTACTTCAGTTATTCCTGGCTGCGCAGCGTCAATATCACTATCACGATCAAACAGRTACCACTCGACCAAACATTTTGCCTACTACAACAAAACCACAAAACTAAAAAATGGAAAATGTATATCGGACATTAATATCGGCCTCTTTTTACGATACAGATATTCTAAAAAATGAACAATATCGGCTGATACCAATGTCAGTGCTGATATATCATGCATCCCTAGTAAAT